GTGTGTTGCGGGCAGCTGCAGAACGCTTGGAGTTGGCCCTCTTGGCGCTCTTCTGTCGCAAAGCATTCTGGAACTTGCTGATGGCGCCCATGTCACTGACACCGTGGCTGTTGTTGCTGGATATGCGTTTGAGAAAGCCTGCTTTTGAGAGGGTGACCCGGCGGGTGCTGTTGCGCTTGCGCTGTCCAGTTCCAATCGACGCCATGCGGTAGTATCGGGGATTGATGACGAGACGGACACTGTCTTTGTCCTGCTTCCACAGGAATCCAAGCGAGGTAGGCGTGCCGGCAAGTGCGTAGGGAAGAAGTTGGAGATGTGAGAAGATGTGTCCGAGGCCATCGTTGATGTCTTGAGCGGCTGAGTTGGACGACTCGCGGAGTGTCCTGTGGTACTCGTAGATATATCCCACCTCAGCGTTGAGAAGGAACCACCACTGCGATCCAGATGGGACGGTGTGACCAGGTGGAGGAAAGAAGAGCTTGGCTCTGTCCTTGAAAGACAGCTCCCTGTGGCCATGGACGGGACCAGAAAGACCGCCATTGGTGGCCTCGAAGGCAACTCTAGCGATAGTCCCACGGGCCATGCCAATGGTCCAGAACTCCATGGCGTCTTCAAGAGAGGAAGGACAGGAAATGGCTGGGACGATGAGCCAGGCATTGCTGAGCATGGACCATGCATGGAAGGTGAAGAGGATGAAGAGGCGGGCGGCGACAGTGGTATGCGGGATGTAAAGGTCAAACTGGTACTGCTGCACAAAGCCTTCTGGATGTGAGGAGATGGCATCTGCAATAGCTTTCCAGGTCGGGGTTGGCCCAAGAGGATAGCCGACAGAGGGTGCGTTAGAGATGGGCTGAACACGCCGCTTCCCAAGGTTCTTCCGAGCCTCGGTGGTGATGTTCATCGTACGGAAGATGACTTCGTCGTCTTCGTCCTGGATGGGTGGGAGCATGGGTATGGTGGACAGGTCGAGCTCGTGTAGAAAGATAGTGCCATAGTTGTTGATGATCGTCTGGGCCTGAAGGTGGGCCAGGGAGGCACGGACATGCTGGGGAGGAATGGTGTGGGTGCTAGAGACCTCACGGATGAGGTGACAGATGAGCGAGGTAAGGATGGCATAGTTTGGAGGCTGCAGCATGCTGAGACGGATCTGGAGGGACTGCAGGACCTCTACCCGTGCAGCGAGATACCCAAACCAGTGCTGGGACTTGACCCAAAGGATCGGATTGCAAGCAAGGAACTGTTTGGTCTGAGAATATGTCAGCAAACTGTGGCAGGATCAGAAACAGCCCAGAGAGCTCACCTTGTCCTGCCAACCCTCCAAAAAGGAAAGAAGAGCTTGACCGCCAATGCGGTACTCGTCGCGCACCCCATAGGTGGTATTTTGAGCATTCCCCCGAAAGACACTGATGCGCCGGTTGCACTCGGTGTGATAGGTTTCATTGACCTCGTAGGCGTCGCCATCGTTTGCAAAGTAAGGCACGTTGTCGGACGACCGTATGGGCTCGTACTGTAGGTTGTACGCAGAGCGAAAGACGGTATGGGAGAGCTGCGAGCGCTCACGGGACATGGGCGCCTGGAGAGCACCGTAGCGGGAGAGGGAGGCAATGTTGTGAAGGGTACCCTTGGTGTATCCACCAGCTCCAAAGGAGTCCTCGAGGACATCCAAGCGCCACAGGCCGACAAGGTTTGTGCGGGTGGCTTCAGGGTTGGGAGTGAAGGAATAGGCTATGTCGATGTGAAGTTCACCATTCCTGCGGTCAACCATGTAGTCGAGGTCCAGACAGGGTTGGCAGAGCTTGAGCTTGCTCCAAGGAGAGGAAGCCTGCTTGACGTCATGCAGAGACATGCGGGTTTGAAGCTTCAGGTTCTTGGCATCGAGAACAAAGTAGAACGAGCCATAGAGGTCAAGCTCAGGATTGTCCCGGATGATCTCTCGCATGGTGGCCTGAAGGTCGGTGAGAATGTGGGGCTGAATATTCACCGTCTTGGCCTTGAAGTGAGCGCCCTTCCGCTGGTCCTTAGAGCCAGCCCGCAGAAGGTTCTCGTCAACGGTGGCAGGCATGTACGCCTCTGTACCAGGCTCGGCATTCTGGCGCAGAGCAGGGAGGAGAACCTCGTTCCAGAACATCCTCTGGACCTCAAAGGGAATCAGGGCCTCCCAAGTTCCACGTGCCTCGTGTCTGTGGAGCATGCGAGGGAAGCAGATGAGGACGTAGATTGGCGAGCTACTGTCCGAGATCTTTGCAAAGACAGTGTGAGGGACGATGCTGAGGGGAGTGATGTTTTCAACCCATTCGCGCTCGCCAGAGAACCGCTCTTGGTCAGTGGGAGGGTAGAGGATGTTGACATAGACATGGTTGTTCTTGCGGATAGGGGGTGCCTTGCCGACAGTGGGGGTTATGGCGAGGTCGATGCCATGCTTGAAGCGCAGGGTCTGGGTGACCCATATGATGCTGTCGATGTCGATGTCAACGAGGATGTCTTGAACAGGGACGTCCACAGAGTCGCGCTCCAGATCAAGGCAGACTAGCTTCTGGTCGGGGGTGAATCCACGCACAAAGAGGTCCCAGTTCTCAGTGCAGGCTGGATTGCCTTCTTGGTAACTCTGCAGCATGTCCTCGAGCCCCATGAAGGCGATGTCTGGAGGGACACGGGTAACAAAGTCAAGGACAGGGTTTCCTGCAAATGCCGCCGCCGTTGAGCGCGTCTTCTTCAGAAACTCGTCCTGGGCACGCTGCTGGTAGAGCTGGTGGTAGTACTGGGAGGGGTGAGGGGCTGGGCGAGGGCAGGGAAGGATGTGTGCGTGGACCTCCCAGGGCTCCCTAAGATAGTGCATGTGAGCATACCCGGCAAGCAGGCGCATGCCCTGGTCGGCAAAACGGGTCCAGCTAGAGGAGGCAATGTAGGTCGCGATAGGATCCATGGTGTACATGGCATGGATGTCACCGAGCTGCTTGTTCTCGACGAGCATCTCTTCACGGGTAGGGCCCGTGTGGTAGTCGTCAAAGGTGTCGCTATGCTTGATCCAAGTCTCCTGATAGAAGGGGGGTAGGGGAAGGGGCTCAGTCAGCCTAGGAAAGCGTTTTGGGTTGCTGAGGGACACATCCTTTGATCTCCTTGTACTTTGCATGATGGCGCCGTATCCGCCCGATGACCAGATCGAGGAGCTC